GATCTTACAAATATTAGCCAAAGAGGCATTCAGCAATTAAAGACATTTAAAATAGTTTTCTAAATGTCTGTTTTTCTTTTTTGATTGTGCAGCATTGCCCAGGCTGGTCTTGAACTCCTGGGCTCAAGCAATCTGCCTGCCTTGGCCTCTCTAAGTGCTAATTACAGCACTTACGGAGTGTAATACTGAAAAAAAAATTAAAAAATTAAATAAATAAATTTCTGTTTTTCTGGGACAAATGCCCAGGAGTATAGATGCTATGTCATATGGTCAGGGTATGTTACGTTTTTAAACAAATAGTGAAATTACTTTCCAAAGTGCCTGCATCAATTCAAAAGAAATATAGAAAGGTTACCTCCCTTTATATACTTTGACCCTCCTTCATTTGTAACATAATTGCCTTAAATATTTCCAGTATATATACTGAAAAACAAATCAGTGCTATAATTCTTGCTTCAGCCATCAATTTAGAAAATTCAAAAGGAGGGTAAAGTCTATTGTGTTTACCCATATTTTACTCTTTTTATTGTTCTTTCTTCCTTCCTGATGTTCCAAAATTACTTCTTTTATCATTTCTTTTCGGTTTAGAGAAATTCCTTTAGCCATTCTTTTAGGGTAGGTCTGCTGAAGAAAAATTGTTAATTTTCCCTTCACTCCTGAAGGATATTTCTCTGGATGTGTAACTCTGGGTTTAGAGTTGTTTTCTTGTTTTTGTTTTTTTAGACAAGGTCTCGCTCTGTCACTCAGGCTGGAGTACAGTGGCACAAGCTTGGCTCGCTGCAACCTCCACTTCCCGAGTTCAAGCAATTCTCTTGCCTCAGCCTCCTGAGTAGCTGGGACTACAGGTGCCCACCAACAAGCCCGGCTAAATTTTTTTTTTTTTTGAGACGGAGTCTCACTCAACTGCCCAGGCTGGAGTGCAGTGGCCCAACCTTGGCTCACTGCAACCTTCGCCTCCCAGGTTCAAGCAATTCCCCTGCCTCGGCCTCCCAAGTAGCTAGGATTACAGGCGTGTGCCACCACACCCAGCTAAATTTTTTATTTTTAGTAGAGACAGGGTTTCCCCATGTTGGCCAGGCTGGTCTCAAACTCCTGACTTCAGGTGATCCTCTCACTTCAGCCTCCAAAAGTGCTGGGATTACAGGTGTGAACCACCGTGCCCAGCCTAGAGATTTTTTCTTTCAGCACTAGAAAAATTGTTGTATGTATCCCTTCCTTCTGGCCTTTATGATCTCTGATGGGAAATCTGCTGTCATTCAAATTGCTGTAGTTACATAAGGTCATTTCTTGCTAATTTCAAGATCTTCATTTTTTGTCTGCAGTGTTCAGAAATCTGACTATGATATGTCTCTGTGAATTTCTTTATCATATTTGAACTTCATTCAGCTTTTTCAATCCATAGGTTTCTGACTTTTGCCAAATTTGGGAATTTTTCAGCCATGACTTCTTCCTCCAATATTTTTTCAGCCCCACCCTCTTTCTCCTCTCCTTCTGGGACTCCATGACATAAATTTAGATGGAGTCTTGCTCTGTTGCCCAGGCTGGAGTGCAGTGGCGCAATCTTGGCTCACTGCAGCCTCTGTCTCCCAGGTTGCAGTGATTCTCCTGCCTCCGCCTCCCCAGTAGCTGAGATTACAGGCATGCGCCACCATGCCTGGCTAATTTTTGTATTTTTAGTAGAGATGGGGTTTCACCATGTTGGCCAATCTGGTCTTGAACTCCTGACCTTAAGTGTTCGGCCCACCTCGGCCTCCCAAAGTGCTGGGATTATAGGTGTGAGCCACCGTGCCCGGCTTGGTGATTTTCAATTGAATCTTGAAAATTTGGGGTATTACGTTATGAGAATGTGAATCTTATTTACATCTTCCAATTTGGCAAGCCTCCTCTGACACAGCACTGGCAGCAGGAAAAAGGGAGTGCCACCTCACTACAACCAGAGGGGAGTGAAAGTTCAGGCTTCTTCAAGGCCTGTGATAACACGGAGTGGTGGTCATGGGCATTACTGCTGAATGCACACGGGAGTTCTAGTCCCCTAGTCTTCCACTGACATCTCTCTGACTGGGAGGGAGAGGAATGCCTTGTTACTGATCCCCACGTGGCCTCCACGGACATTGTGGAGGTGTCCTTGTTACTGCTAGATGCCAGCAACAGTCTGGATTCTCTACTAGGCCTCTTCTCTGACATTGCCCCCATAGGAGCCAGAGAGATGCCTATGTATTATTAGGTGGACGTTCAGGCTCCCTGTGACCACTGACACCGTGGGAAAGGAGTGTTATCACCTCCTGGAGGGAAGGAAAACCCCAGCTCCCCAGGCAGCCTTCTCTGACACCATGTTGGCTGGGAAAGGGGAGAAGTGTACCTTATGACTTCCAGGTTGGGGTACATATCTTGACTCCCACTCGGCCTTTGCTGACAGGGTTTGGGGCCAGTTTATTCTGTGGTGTTTGACTGTAGTCAAGTGCTTATTATCTAAAAGTTTTTGTCTTGCTAGGCTGCCTCTTTTGGCTAAAGAGAGCAGGCTTTTTATGGGGTTTTCTCTTGGTCTGAGCCCACAGCTTCTCCAGCACCAAGCCCAGGATAAATGAGGCAAAAAGAAAATCCAGGCCACTCCCCACCACGCTGCTCCTCTGGTTCCAAGGTCTGTCTTCTCTCTGCCTTTGAGATTCAGCTCGTTTTTTTTTTCTTTTTGAGACGCAGTTTTGCTCTTGTTGCCCAGGCTAGAGTGCAATGGTGCGATCTCAGCTCAGCGCGACCTCTGCTTCCCAGGATCGAGCAATTCTCCTGCCTCAGCCTCCCAAGTAGCTGGAATTACAGGCATGCGCCACCATGCCCAACTAATTTTGTATTTTTAGTAGAGACAGGGTTTCTGCACGTTGGTCAGGCTGGTCTTGAACTCCCGACCTCAGGTGATCTGCCCACCTCAGCCTCCCAAAGTGCTGGGATTACACGTGTGAGCCACCGCGCCTGGCCCAGCTTATGTTTTATACAAATGTTGAGGTGTTTTGGCTGTACTTAAGAGGAGGAATAGAAAAAAGTACCAGTTCATCCCTTTTATTATTCAATTGTTTGGATATACCACAGTTTGTGTATTCGTTAACTAAATGAAGGTCTACATTTAGGCAGTTTATAATTTTGGGCAATTATGAATAAAGATGCTATAATCTTTTTTTGTTTTTTTTGAGATGGAGTTTCGGTCTTGTCACCCAGGCTGAAGTGCAGTGGTACGATCTTGGCTCACTGCAACCTCTGCCTCCCGGGTTCAAGTGATTCTCCTGCCTCAGCCTCCTGGGATTACATGTGCCCGCTATCACACCCAGAAAATTTTTGTATTTTTAGCAGAGATGGGGTTTCACCATGTTGACCAGGCTGGTCTTGAACTCCTGACCTCAGGTGATCCACCAGCCTCGGCCTCCCAAAGTGCCGGGATAACAGGCGTAAGTCACTGTGTCCAGCCCTTTTTTTTTGAGACAGTCTTGCTCTGTCACCCAGGCTGGAGTATAGTGGCACGATCTCGGCTCACTGCAACCTCCACCTCCCGGGTTCATGTGATTCTCCTGCCTCAGCCTCCTGAAGAGCTGGGACTACAGGTGCCCGCCATCATGCCTGGCTAATTTTTGTATTTGAAGTAGAGACGGGGTTTTGCCATGTTGGCCAGGCTGGTCTTGAACTCTTCACCTCAGGTGATCCACCAACTTCGGCCTCCCAAAGTGCTGGGATAATAGGCATGGGCCACCATGCCTGGCCAGCTATAAGCATTTGATACAAGTTTTTATGTGAACCTAAGTTTTCTTTTCTCTTGGTTATATATACATGATTAGGATGGCTGGATCATATGGCTAAGTATACATTTATCAAAAAAATGCCAAACTGTTTCCCAAAGCTGTACACTTTTACATTCCCATTAACAGTGTATGAGTCTCAGCTGCCTGGATCCTTGCCAGCACTTGGTATTGTCAGTTTTATTTCCTCATTAAGCCACACCTACAAGGGTGCCGTGGTATCTCATTGTGGTTTTATTGTGCATCTCCCTGTGACTAGTGATGCTGAGAGTCTCTTCATGGGCTTGTCATCCCTATGTCTTATTTGGTGAAGTACCTTTTCAAATTCTTCACCTTTTTATTGAGTTGCTCTCTTATTGTTCAGTTTTAAGAGTTCTTTATATATTCTGCTTATAATTTTTTTGTCAGATACAGTTACTTTTTCTCTCAACTTCTACTACTAATTGGCCAAACTTTAAGACATATTTAAACCGAGACCTGGAAAGTAACTCTGCACTTCCCATTGTTATTTAGATTATACTCAAGTATTTTTCATTTTCCGGGTGGTAAAATGTATTTATTTTTCACCTACTAATATTCATGATTTCTGGCCGGGCACAGTGGCTCACACCTGTAATCCCAGCACTTTGTGAGGCCAAGATCATGAAGTCAGGAGATTGAGACAATCCTGGCTAACACAGTGAAACCCTGTCTCTACTAAAGATACAAAAAATTAGCCAGTTGAGGTGGCAGGCACCTGTAGTCCCAGCTACTTGGGAGGCTGAGGCAGGAGAATGGCGTGAACCCGGGAAGCGGAGCTTGTAGTGAGCTGAGATCGCGCCACTGCACTCCAGCCTGGGTGACAAAGCGAGACTCCGTCTCAAAAAATAAAAAATAAATAAAAAATCATGATTTCTAAGGAATTTTTGGAGACTGTACAAATTACTGTGAAGTTTAAATTATTATGTTAAAGTAGTCATTAAATGTTCTAGCAATCCTCTCCTGCCTTGGTTTCCCAAAGTGCTGGGATTACAGGTGTGAGCCACCACATCTAGCTTTTTTTTTTCTTTGGGGTAACTGCTCCTTAATCCAGGGAAATTTAGTAGATTAAAAATTTACTTAAGAGTCTTAATATGATTAAAGAGGGGATGAAGAATAATGTAAAGCAAAAATCAGATGGAGCCCATATGTCAGATAAAAGTGTGAAGGTAGCGAACATGATGAATGGTGAGCAGGCCTTACCTAGATCACTCCCAAGTGCTCCTGAACTGGTGGTTGGCCTTTCACATGGATGTGAACTCTGTTCTGATAGGTCCCCCTGCTGCTGCTGCTGCTGCTGCTTCTGCTGTTGCTGCTTTTGCTGCTGTCTGAAACATTCAAAAGTGAATGTATATTTAAAAAACAAAACTTAAAAGAATAAATACACCATGAGAAAAACTATTCATGTGGAAAATACACTGTTCCACAAATCAAAGTAGTCACTGACATTAAAAGAATGCAAGAGCAGTTAGTCTGATATAGATTACTTTAAAATATAGAAGTGCTGATCCTAGGAAACCTAGACATAAAATTTAAATTTATCAGACAAATTAAGAGGTAGGTATTTTCATCACAAAATAACCTATCATGGCCAGGCATGGTGGCTCACACCTGTAATCCCAGCACTTTGGGAGGCCGAGGCAGGTGGATGGCCTGAGGTCAGGAGTTTGACGCCAGCCTGGCCAACACAGTGAAACCCCATCTCTACTAAAAATACAAAAATTAGCCAGGTGTGGTGGCAGGCACCTGTAATCCCAGCTACTTTGGGAGGCTGAGGCAGGAGAATCACTTGAACTGGGAAGGTAGAGATTGCAGTGAGCAAGATCGCGCCACTGCACTCCAGCCTGGGTGACAGAGCAAGACTCTGTCTCAAAAAACAAACAAACACACAAACAAACAAACCTATCATACAAAAAGATTCACTGGTAGCTATTCTTATGCAAATGAGTGTTGGTTTATAGACCCTTAATATTGTTGAAAGTCACTGAAAATAAGTACCTTTGATCAGATAAAGCATCTCAAACTACCATGTGAGTTAACATAATGTTTCCATGGCTGGCTCATTCTTTTGATTCAGGTCTGAGCTTAACAATCTCCCCAGAGATGCCTTTCCTGACCATCCCACCAAAAGTAGCCATCTGACATTCTCATTATTTCATCACTTCGTTTTAATTCTCAGCATAAACTTACCATCTGGTGTTCTCTTTATTTCCCTCTTTATGGCGTGTAAGCTAATGAAAGTGCAAATGTTAACTTGTTCATCTATTTCAACAGTGCTGATAACCGTGCTGTTACAACATAGTAAGCATTTACTGAACACTTGATAAATGAAAACTACTATTTAACACACATTATCAGATTTTAAGTAATATTGATTGCATTCAGCTCCTCTGTAATTTTTTCAAAAGGAAAAACAATGTAATTCAAATCCCCATTTTTAAAATGTTTAAACATGATAGTTATGATGTAAATATGTAGGAATATATCCTTGTACTCAGAAAATACACACTGAACAACTGAGACATAATGGAAAATCATATCTGCGTATTATTCCCAAATGGTTCAGAAAGGCCAACAATTGGGGAATCTGGGTGAAGGATATAAGGCGCTCTGTGTACTATTTCTGCTTTTATGTAAATCTGAAATTACAGGTCAAGCATCCCAAATCCGAAAATCTGAAATCGAAATGCTCCAAAATCAGAAACTTTTTGAGCATCAACATGATACTCAAAGGAGGTGCTCAGTGCAGCACTTCAGATTTGAGATTTTGGATTTGGAATGCTTAACTGGCAAGTATAGTGCAAATATTCACAAATCCTATAAAACCCCAAATCTAAAACACTTCTAGTCTCAAGCATTGTGGATAAGGGATACTCAATCTAGATTTCATACATGTAAATACAAACACAGAAAACCAAAAACCAAAACTTACCAACAGCTGACAATCTCAGTGAGAAGCCATAGGTTTAAAAAAAAAAAAAAAAAAGATTGCTTCTCGGTGTTTTGGCTAAGATCAAGGTATTAAAAAAAAAAAAAAGGGGGGGTATATAGGAATTTGAAAAGGAACCAGAATTTTTAAACTACCAGCAACAATTATTAATAGAATGACACATTTTTTCTAGAGTTCCTCTCAATTTTGTGTTTTAAAACTGTGAACAATAAAGTTCAACCAATGAGAACTGCAATTTTTCCCTGTTGGTCTCTAAGCCCGAATACTGACCTGTGTGTAGGTGTAAGACTTTAGTGTGCATGGCTAATGATGCACATAAGGGCAGTATCCTCCCATTAGCAAATCCTGATGCTGCGACATGGCACAAGAAAGACGGACTGAGTATGGAGAATTCCTGGCACATCAGCTATCACTCCATGCCCTCTTCCCCTCCACTCAAGAAGGTATGTGAGAATGCAAGGGAGTGACAGGTAAGATAGCAATTTTAGAGGAATAGCCTTTATTCTACTTTTAGTTTATGAAAAGTGAGAAGTAAATCAATTGCCCACCTTGAAACAATGTTGACGCCTTCCAGCTGTGAAGACACTGAGATGGAACATGTTTAAGTGGCACTCAGCATCCACTCCCACTGTGCCATTAATATTATAGAGGCTACAAAGCTAAAAGCTACATGTCTTAGATTATTTTACAAGTAGGATTCTGGTTACAAATTAAGTGTTCACATGAGCTTTAAAAGGCCGAAATGGGTTGAGCACGGTGGCTTGCGCCTGTAATCCTAGCACTTCAGGAGGCCAAGGCAGGTGGATCACCCGAGGTCAGGAGTTCAAGACCAGCCTGGCCAACATGGCGAAACTGTCTCTACTAAAAATACAAAAATTGTCTGGGCATGGTGGCTCATGCCTGTAATCCCAGCACTTTGGAAGGCTGAGGCGGGCAGATCACGAGGTCAGGAGTTCGAGACCAGCCTGGCCAACATGGTGAAACCCCATCTCTGTTAAAAATACAAAAAAATTAGCTGGGTGTGTTGGTGCGTACCTGTAGTCCCAGCTACTTAGGAGGCTGAGGCAGGAGAACTGCTTGAACCCAGGAGGCGGAGGTTGTAATAAGCCCAGATCATACCACTACACTCCAGCCTGGGTGACAGAGCAAGACTCTATCTCAAAAAAACAAAACAGAAACAAAGGTTAGGCAGGCATGGTGCTGCACAGCTGTAGTCCCAGCTACTCGGGAGGCTGAAGCAGGAGAATTGCTTGAAACTGGAAGTCAGAGGTTGCAAGGAGCCAAGATGCCACCATTGCACTCTGGTCTGGGCAACAGAGTAAGACTCCATCTCAAAAAAAAAAAAAAAAAGGCCAACGATCGCGACAATGGGCCAGGCATGGTGGCTCACGCCTGTAATCCCAACACTTTGGGAAGCTGAGGCGGGCGCATCACCTGAAGTCAGGAGTTCGAGACCAGCCTGGTCAACATGGCAAAACCCCACCTCTACTAAAAATAAGAAAATTGGCTGGGCGCAGTGGCGGGTGCCTATAATCTCAGCTACTCAGAAGGCTGAGGCAGGAGAATTGTTTGAAGCTGGGAGGTGGAGGTTGCAGTGAGCCAAGATCACACAACTGCATTCCAGCCTGGGCGACAGACAAGAGTCTGTCTCAAAAAATAAAATAAAATAAATAGGCAGAAATAAGGTCAGCCATCTCCCTACTTTGGTTGTTCTCTGGTGGCAAGCAAAGTCATGAAGATGCCAGTCCCAAAATTCTGCTTCACTGCTTTTGCAGTAGGGGCCAGACTTCCCATGTCTAGGCAATTGTGGTGGCAGCTTTCTAAGCCCAGGATCATTGCTATAGCAGTGTGTTCTTAAATTTAATATCCTCATTACCCATTGTGCCAATTGGGGCAGTGGTTACAGCTCTTCCTGCAAGTTGGTTTGTGGTACTCTGGAGGCCTGGCTAAGATCTGCACCTTCATCTTTTCTTAAGATTATGTAAAACCCTAATTTCTCTATTAAGTACTTTTTCTCCTTAAAACATCCCCAGTAGTTTCTGTTTCTCAATACTGTTTGATAAATTATACCATCACTGAAGTGGTGGCTCAAGTATTAGTCAATCAAAAACTCATAGCAATCCATGTCCATGAAGATATTTGTGTCTCTCCTTGTTACAAAACATTTGTAACTATGTTTTTTGTAGCAGAAAGAATCTGCATCTGTTTCAAAGCCACACCTAGAGAAGACATTAATAATTGCCAACATGCATGTATGGAATCCTTTACAGTTTATAAAATAGTTTCACACACATTGCTTAATTTCATACTGATGTGAGTTAAGGCAGGTTTTACAGTGACACAGCTGATGTAGTAGAGTTTTGCTTGGGGTTTTACAGTGGTAAAACAGATTTAGAGACTCCTGCTGGAAAAAATGTCATGGCTTAAAAATATTATTTAATGACTCATAAATTATGAATCTGTAATAGGGAGACTTTTTAACAGTCTATATATATATATATATTTTGAGATGGAGTCTCGCTCTGTAGCCCAGGCTGGAGTGCAGTGGCACAATCTCGGCTCACTGCAAGCTCTGCCTCCTGGGTTCACGCCATTCTCCTACTTCAGTCTCCTGAGTAGCTGGGACTACAGGCGCCTGTCACCACGCCTGGCTAATTTTTTGTATTTTTAATAGAGACGGGGTTTCACTGTGTTAGCCAGGATGGTCTCGATCTCCTGACCTTGTGATCTGCCCGCCTCGCCTTCCCAAAGTGCTGGGATTACAGGCATGAGCCACCACTCCCGGCTTAACAGTATTTTTTACACTAGAGAGAAACTAGTTGTTGTTGTTGTTGTTGTTGTTGTTGTTGTTGTTTTGAGATACGAGTCTCACTCTTGTCGCCTAGGCTGTAGTACAACGGCATTACCTCGGCTCACTGCAACCTCTGCCTTCCAGGTTCAAGTGATTCTCCTGCCTCAGCCTGCTGAATAGCTGGGATTACAGTGCCCACCACCACACTCGGCTAATTTTTTGTATTTTTAGTAGAGAAGAGGTTTTGCCATATTGGCGGCCAGGCTGGTCTCGAACTCCTGACCTCAGATTATTCGCCTGTCTTGGCCTCCAAAAGTGCTGGGATTACAAGTGTGAGCCACAGCGCCCGGCCTAAACTAGTTTTTTTAAGGCATGAAAACTATGATTACTTTATGGATTTATGCAATTACTTTATGATTTTCTTTATGCATAAATACTATGATTACTATATTCAGTATGAAGCTTCAAATACTCAAAAAGGGAAAAGAAAAACTAGAAAATCATACGAATAACAAATCAGAACCAGGGTCAATTTGGGAAGGGTAAGAGGTAAGAAAGAGTTAGCTTGATAACCTTAGAGCCAAGCT